CTGCAGCCTGGGGCTCAGGGGAGTGAGGGGCACAGGGGAGTGGGGCTTGGGAGGGGCTTCCCACCTTGGCGTGCACATCTGTAAAATAGGGGTGACATTAGCATCTGCTCTGGGAGTTGTGAACATTAAATGAGTTTACAGCTGTGCAGCCCACAGGAGGGGCCCGACAGCCCTCATAGTTCAGCACAGGGTTTCCTGTCTGGGCTCTTCTCCTGCTTTGTGACCCCCGCCCCATGTGAGGGCTGAGGCTTCTATGGGGCAGGGTGGGAATAGGGGCTAGTCCTGGGAGCCGAGGAGTGGTACCCTGAGAACTCTGAGGCCTGGCTGTGGGGTCTGTGGCCAGGCCGTTCCCCTCTGGGGCCCTGTGGAGCATGTCGACTTGCAGCCAGGTGGCCGGCCGGCTTTGAAGGCTGCCTTGGTGGCTTCCTGCCTGTGTGGCATTGGTTTCTGAGGTTCTCAGTGCTGGTGACACTGGGGGCTGGTTAAAAAGCAGGTGGCTGAGTGGGATCCAGTGTACAGGCAGGAGGCGATGCAGGGCCTGGCAGTTCTGGCATGAACCAGGGTTTGGGAATCGTGTCTTCCAGGCCTACTGGGTGCTGGCAGCTGAAAGGGCAGGACCCAGGTTCTTAATCCTGCCTGAGGCAGGGGGGCAGTTCTGGCATCTTGCCTATGGGCCCTTTCTTCCCCAAAGTGTACATGAAATTAACTTATCAGGTATTTTCCTGGCCACCTGTCATGTGTCAGGCACTGTTTAGAAGCCACAGTCACTGCAGTGAACCTGACAATGGCTCCGGCCCTCCTGGGTCCCCACCAGGGTTTCTGTGGTCACCATGGCCCACAAGGCCACACTGGTCTGTGCCTGGTAGCCCTCTGCCTTCTTCTCTGATACACTGGGCAGCCACACTCCTGCCTCAGGGCCTTTGCACTGCTGTTACTCTACCTGTAACACTCCTCCCCAGACATCCCCAGATGCATGGCTCACTCCTTCCTACCTTGAAGTCTTAACTCCAACATCTCAGGGAGCTCTTCCCTCAATACCTGTTTCACACACACAGCCACCCCACTCCTCTTAAAATTTTACCTCAAGCACTTACCATCCTCTAAGAATGATATAGTTCATTCATTATTTCACTTATTTTTCATCTCCCCCATTATGGTATATGCTCTTCAGGGCAGAAGGTCTTTTTCCTTTGCCTTCCTAGGCACTGGTAAGGATCCTGGAATATAGACATGAGCACTTGGTGGTGCTCAGTAAATATTTGTTGACTAAATGAAGCAAGCAAATGATTAGCTAATTTGATTTCAGGTAATGAGAAGTCCTACAGAGAAAAGCAAAGCTGGGGGGAGGGATGAAGAGGGGGTGGGGCAGGGGAGGTCTCCTGAAGTGGTGCCTGAAGGAAGGGAGCAACAGCCATTGTGGCTGCTGGTGGTTCAAGAAGGCATGGGCAGGGACAGTGACTCTAAGCCTGCACTGGGCCTTTGAGGGTCCTAAAGTTGCCATAATTTTGTCCTCAGCTCCAGGTGTTGGGAGGCAAAGGGATACCCAGGTTAAGGAGAGGCAACTGTTCCTCTCCCCCTGCCCCAGGACCCCCATGATCCACCCAACAGGAGGGAAGGGGTTAAACTCAGACCTCCCGGGTTCCCCTAATCAACCCCAGGCTGCTTGCCTCCCTGCCCGCTGGCCCCCTGCCAGCCCGTTTCCCTGCCCAGCCACCGACTAGCTTTCATCTGCTCACAGGGGGCCGATTCACAGCAGACCACCCCAGGCCCAGCACCCGCCTGCAATTCCGCGCGGTTGTTAAGAGTCGGTGTAAATCTCCTGACAGGCCGCAGAGCAGGCCTTGGGCCCGGGTGCCCCACCCCATAGCTGGGCAGACAGTGGCTGCTGTGTCTGGGTTGTGGCCACACCAGGGCTGGGCCAGGCAGCCAAGGAGAAGGCCGAACGGCTTCAGATCGGTGAAGGGCCCCGCAACTGGGGCCCGCATTTGTCCCTGCAGAGCACACTGTTCCTGCGGTCCTGCTCAGCTCCTCTTCCTCCTCCTCCCTGCCCCCATGAGGTCCTGCCTCCCTCACACCCCGCTGAGGCAGGAGGCTGAGCTGGCCTCTGGCGAGTCAGACCTTGCTGCCAGACAACCCACTCTCCTCTCCTGGAGGTTTTGGAAAACCAAGACCTTAGCAGCTGAGCTCCATGCAGCATGCTGACCGTCCCAGGTCTGACCATTCCATATTCCACATGCCTCCACTTCCCACCTGTAAGATGGGGATGACGGTGGCAGCCTCTCAGCAGGTTATGGCCCTTGGAGACAATATGCATGGCCACCCAGTACAGTGCTGGCACATTGTAGATGCCTGCCACAGCAATTGCCACTCATCATGGGGGCTTGTACTGGGCCAGCACAAAGGCAGGAGAATGGCCCTGATGGCCCCTTGGCTCCCCAAGAAGCACCAGGATGTACCTGGCAGGTGTGGGTACTGTGTGCTGGTCTGGTGGTGACGAGGGATACCCTGGGGATGGTGGTAAGGGATTCCCCCAGCCTGGAATCCAGCCCATATCTCTGCCTCTCACATTGTGCGGCCCTGGGAGTGTCACCCAGCCTGGCTGAGACACAGTGTTCCCCGAACCCCCAGACCCTTCTCACACATTTGCAAAATTGGGTGCCCTCCATCACATAGGTGCATTGAGGAAGAGATGTGGAACCCAGAATGCCTACCTTGAGGGCCAAGCCTAGATGGGCTATTTGATTCTCAAAGCCTTTCTGCACCCTCAGTAGTCAGAGAGTGTGATTCCCACTTTACAGATGAGACAACTGAGGCCCAGAGGAGAGCATAGCCTGCCCGAGATCACCAATGGGCGACAGCTGTCTGGTACAGGCTGGGCCACAGGGACCGGCTCTCCCGTTAGTGAGGGTCACAGCACCAATCCAGGTGACGTCAGAAGGGCTGTCAGTGACTGGAGCCCAGCTGCTGGAGGCCGACAGGCAGCCCAAGCCAGTGTGCAAGGCCAAGGCGGGGCTTCCCCAGGCAGTGCCCTTCCTCCCTCCCAAGTGCTCTACTTTAAAACACTTTGGGTGTGTCCTCCAGCTCCACCTCACCCTGGGGGTTTGACAGTATGATAACCACTTTGTAGGTGTGGAAACTGAGCCCCAGAGGAGAAGAGGGACTTGGTGGATTAGAGCAAGACATGATTAGAGAGTTGAGCTCACAGCACTGAGCTCCAGAGCAGGGCAGGGCTCCTGGCAGAGTCCACTAAGACCCTCTCATCTTCTTCTCCCCAGGCCCGTCCTCCTGGACCTGCAGAGAGCTGCTCTGGGCCATGGGCCTGGGCTAACGCCCATTGTCTGGAGCACCTGATTTTCAAGGCTCCAGGAAGAAAAGGTGCCAGGTGCCTTCTGTGTGACCTCAAGCATGTCACTGATCATTCCTGAGACTCAGTTTTCTCATCTGTAAAACAGGGACAGTGGTAGACCTCCTTCTTGGGGATGATGCAGGGTGAAACAAGGCAGCGCGTGCCCACTGCTTAGACCCTGGAGTGGAGGGAGTGCTCAGCAAGCGTCAGCTGCTGCTTTTGGTTTTGCTCCTGTGCTGCTGCTCTTAGCCTGCAGAGGTACTGTTGGAGGTGCTGTGCTTGCGGAAGGGGGCTTCTGGTGGAGGGGTCTTGGGCGGAGCCCAGAGGAAGGAAGGCATTCCTGGTAGGGGCTGTGCCTGAACCGTGGCTCTGAGGTGTAGGAGGCAGAGAATACTCGAGAAACCCTGGGAACAGCAGCAGGAGGTGCTGGGGCCCTGGAGCAAACAACCCCGCCTTCTTTCTTCTGGGAGCCCCATTGTGGCCAAGGGCCACTACTTGAAATCTTAAGTCAGGGACTTTCAGAGCTGGAGCAGCCTCAGAGAGCAGGCTGTGCAGAGGGGAAACTGAGGCATGGCGTGAAAGGGCTCAGCCCCAGACAGCTGAGCTAGGCCAGAGCGCCCCATCCAGCTCCCACTGTGGGCAGCTGAATGAAAGAGATCTATTCTGTAGGCCCATCTTCTTTCCTCAGGCACAGGAAGATCTGTCCTCCCAGTGAAAGCCTAGGCCCCGTGGCTCCGAGACTCTCTGGCGCCCTGGCCACATGGAACTGCCTCAGCTTCCCTTTGCCCCTGCCCCCAGCAGTGGCTTCAGCTTTCCACAGCAACAAGGAAGCAATTCCTGAAGTGTCTTTAAAACTCCCCTCCTCCAGGAAGTCTGCCCCATGTGAAGGCAGAACAGCATATGGTGGGGGCATGTGCTCTGGGGCCGGATGACCTGCCTTAGATCAGATCAACCACTTAGCATCAGTCTCATCTGAAGCCTCAGCAGCCCCATCTGTACAATTGGAGCAGAGAGGAATGTGCCTGGAGAAAGAACACTGGCCTTGGAGTCAGGGGCCTGGGTGCTAACACCTCTGCTGTCCTGGCTTTGTGTCCCAGACATGAATGCCCACCCTGGCCTCAGTGGCCTGCTCTCTAACCTGGGGATAACTGTGGCTGCCTTGGCAAGAGCTGGGGTGACAGCGACCCATGTGGGTGGAGAGCATCCGCAGATCTTGCTTGGTCGGCACCACTACCTGTGAAAGTGCCATCATGCGGATGCTGGGATTGGGGGGCGGGGAGGGGGTGACTTGAGTGAGGCCAGCGGGCTGCCAGCAGCAGGGCCCATCCTCGAACCCAGGCCAGCTGTGAGCCCTGCCCTCCTTCCGAGCCACAGGATGAACTGTAAACACTTTGTACACAGTGTGACTCAGAAATGGAATTTTATTCGCCAGTGACGATAATAACAGGGCCTGAGGTTTTGCACCAGCTTTTGTGTAGCTCCAGTGGCTCACTTCAAGCTTGTGGTTGACTGAGACATACAGATCCTTTGTACCAGAGCTGCTGTCAGGCCAACCTGCGGTCTCCACGTCTATCCGGCCAGCTTTTCCTGCGTGTTGAGATTGTTCTGAATTCATTTGTCCCCTAGCTCATTCACATCACCCTGCCATTTTCAGGGGCCCAAGCAGCAAGGGCAACAGTATCTCCTCCAAGACCTGGCAGGGCTGAGGCTCAGCCCTGCGGCTCTCTCCTAGAGACTGCCTCCTGACGGGCATCCTTTAAGCTTCCTCAGCGGCTGAGGTCACACAACCAATCAGAGAATGAAATCATTAATTTGGTGGTTACAAACTAGCAGCCCTTGGGTAAGACATGTCCTTCAAAATGGTTGTTTGTTTGTTTTATTCAGTATTTGAATTAATTCCCAACATTTCAGATAAGGGAGATGGCCCCTTCTGCAAGGCACACTCTCTCCAGTCTGCCCTAGTCCCCTCCCATCCCATGTACCTCGTCTGTGTGACTTGCTTGGTCCCACCATGCATCTGAGTTTGTGGCCCCAGCTCCAGCCAAACTTACCCGCAGCCCTTGTTTTCTCTGTTGCTAAGGTCCTCGAAGGCAGCAGCAGGGGACCTGGCGGGAGGCCAGGTGGTCTCCTGGCTGCCAAGTGTCCCATGGAAGGGACAGGGCTTCCCTGGTTCTTCGTGACTTGCTGAGCCCGCTGTGGCTCCCAGGACTACCAGTTGCGTTTCTAAGGTGCCCATTAGAGTTTGTGGCAGGGGTATGTAGACAGCCTGGGGGTCTGGGTACCCAAATCCATTGCACCCCATTATGAAATTCAGAAATCAAGCCCATTCCAAGGCCTCCAACTCTGTCCCCATTCCCAGTGCTAGTCAAGTCATTTCACACTTTTTCAGGCCCCCAGGATGCCATTTTCCAGACCTCAGGAAGGATGGTGAGGAGTTCTATTTTATTTCCCACCTACTTTCTTCTCTCCTTGTCAGTCTAGAAAATTCTGCCCATCACTTCAGACCCAAGGACCCAGGCAAGCCTTCCCCTCTCCCTTAGCCCCTTCCCATGCTGCTTTTCCAAGAAATCCTAGGTCCAGGAAATCCTTCCCCATGCCTTCCTGTGTGACCTCAGGAAAGCCTCTTCACCTCTCTGAGCCACAGTTCTCCACCTGGCCTCCTCCCTCACGGGCACGTGGAGCAGAGCAGACCAGCAGAATGGGTGTTAGGCTGATTGGCAGAACTCTGCAATGTCTGGCCTCTGAGTGAGCAGTCCATTCTAGTGTCTGAGAGAAACACCCAGACATGAGGCGGTGTGAGCAGCGATGCTCCTGGGAGTACTGCGCGTGAGGGAGTCCCGGAGATGCGGGAACAACCTAGGCATCCATTGGAGAGGAACGGCCGAGTGAGCTGGGGCATCAGCGGATGTGACAGGCAGAGCGAGGCCGTCAGCCAGCAACGCCGTGCGACCTTCCTCACCTCACTGAGCTTCACTCGGCCCCAGGGAGGGCTCCCAAGGTTGTGCAGGAGCTGCTGTTTCTAGGGGGGTGAGGCTAGGTTCCTCTCCCCATTTTACAGATCAGCAAACTGAGGTGGCCCTCCAGGGAATGCTGCTGAGAAAGCAAGTTACAGAATGACAGAAACAGGCGGAAACCATTCAAGAAAGTTCCATGAGAAACTTGTGTGTTCCAATCATGTGAAACCAAAAAAAGGCCAGAACGCAAGACCTCCTACCTGATCACGTTGGGATTTCTGGGGAGGGGTTTAGGGTTTGTCCGAGGAGCCATTGATTTTGTGTGTGTGAGAGAGAGAGAGAGAGAAAGGGTGGTCCCCGGCCCAACATCAGGAATCCTTGAGGGTAGCTTCAGCTGGCTGCAGGAAGCAGGGGCGTGGCCACCTTGACCCCACCAGCTCCTAGGGGCCTAGCAGCGGGGGCTGGGTCCTTCCTATGTGGGCTGTGGCAGAGGAGTAAGGGGAAAGGCCAGCAGGTGCGCTGCTCCTGTCCCCTGCTTCCAGTCAGAGTGGGGAGCCCGTCTCTGAAGTGCCCCACACCTCTTCTTAGCATCTGGCTATTGTCCCTTCTGTCTGAGGCCCGGAGAGGACGCAGCAGGTGCTGAGGGTCCCAGGGTGGCTCCAGGCTGCTGGAGCCAGCAATCCCATTCCAGGGCCGCCTCCCATTTAATTATTGTAGGTGTGAGCGGTGGGGTCTGGGGTGCTGGGAGGCCCAGGCCGCAGCACTCCCGGGTTCTCCCCCGTGGGAGTCTGTTTGGGCCACTTTCCCATGCCTGTTGCCTCCTTTTCCCCTTTTGCCAGACAGTGTTGTAGACGTTCAGATATAAGAATGAGTATTCCTACTCAAGAAAGTAGAGGTGAAGTGGGATCATGGTGGCAACCCCAGGGCGACACATAATGACAGTTCTCTGCACCGAAAGTCTCTGGGGAACCTCAGAAAGGAGGTTGGTCATGACCTAAGGGTTCTCCCTGCAGAGGCCTAAGGTTAAACCTCAGGGAGAACTGTCCAGCAGAGCAAGACATGTCTGAGACTCTCGGGAGCCAGCTGCTGAGGGGTCCCCATGCTCTGCAGGACACCGGCAGAAGCTGGAGGACCAGACCAAGGCATTCTCCGACCGCTTTGGGGACCTAGAACGGCTGCGCATGAGGGTGACACCCAGCACGCCCAGCCCCCGCGGCTCCGTCAGCACCGCAAGTCACTTCAGCAGCCAGGCCCAGACCCCCATCCAAGGTATGGCACAGTGGGAGGTCGTGCTCCAGGGGAGGTGAACCGGGACCTAGATGTGGTCCTTCTGCTCCAAACCAAAAGCCCATTCAAAGGTCATTCACTGCACCGCCCATGTTTTATAAAGGAGGTGGCTCGTGCTCATTTGCTCCTGTAGATGTTTTCCAGGGGATAGTCTGTGCCCAGTCCTGGGCTAGGCTCTTCATTCATTCATTCAGCAAACATTAATTGACACCCATGGTGTGCCATGGATGGTACCTGGCCCTGGGGATTGGCATAAACAGACACTCCCTTCCCTCCAGGAATTTACTGTCCCCTGGGAGAAACAAGTGTTAACCCTATAGTGCACACATTAAAGTGGGGGCATGGCCTGTCCAGGAGCCTGCTACAGACATTCCTGCCAAGATGTCATGCCCACCCCCACGCCTCAGCATTCTCGTCTGAAAGCGGTGGGTGGTGGATGCCTCTCCTGAGGATAGGGTGACATTGCTGTTACTAAACTCAAACAAACTTTGTAAGCTGTAAAGTGGTGTTGCGGCCCAGAGAGACACACAGCAATGCCTGGAAAGTTCCAACTCAACCTAGAGACGACTCCTAAACAGAAAGGAGGAGGGAGGCCTCTGGGCTGAGCTCAAGACAATGTCTCTGTCCCACTTGCCTGGGTGGATACAGCAGGCACCATCAAGGCTAAACCTCAGGCAGGACTTCCCGAGTCTATAGATGCCTGGCACACAGCAGGTGCTCAGTAATGGTCAAGGATGAATATTCAGTCTGTTCTCCAGGCTCGTGACCAGTGGGCTGGGGCACAGGAGGCTGTGTGCGTGGCCGACCTTTGGTCCAGGTTAGGGGCAGAGAGTATTCATCAGCAGAGCTGGACAGAGTCAGGAGGGCTGGCTGCTGTCGTGCACTGTGGGTGTCCATTCTTTCTGGATCCTACAGGACCTGGTTAGAACTCATTGGGCAGATGAATGTATTGGGCCTTAGAAGGTTAAGGGCCACCCTTGGGTCACACAGCCTGTCAATGATGAGGTCCACAGTCTCCACAGCATGCACCCCCAGGAACTTGCTGGGCTTCTAAGGGCACAGGAGAGGGGGCCCTGAGCACTGAGAGCCTGGGAGGAGGGGGGATGCAAACTGAATTCCTTCTCCCCGACACTCCAGGTGGAGCTGGGGACCTACTGGGTTTATCTGACCAGGAAGGCCTTGCCCCCAGCCCTTACTGTGTGTGGTAGGCACCATGCCGTGGCAGGGGGACTTGATGCAGCCCCCAGTGTGAGGGAAATGTCCCTCCCATTCTGGCCTGGGAGGCTCGGCCTTGACTCTGCTGAGCCCCCATTGTGGGAAGAAGCCCCAGGTCTACCACTCTGAGCCCAGAGGCTAGTGAGTTTGAGACACTCGACAGCTCTTGAGTCTTGGGGGCCATGGGGCGGTGGGTGGGTGGGGTCTGACTTCAAGCAGCAGTGGGAGGTTCTTAAGACTCTGGGCTCACACCCACCCCTGCCCAAAAGGTGTCTCCGCTCCCGTCCCCCACAGGCCAGCATTTATCAAGGTACAGTACCCTAACACTCCAGGCCTTTTCTTGCTATGGGCAGAGATGAGGCCTCATGGAGTTCTGGGGCCCAGCCAGAAAGCCCTGGAATCCAGCATATGGTGGTGAACAGTGACTTCCTGTCCAGCAGCTCCAGTGGAAGGAGAGCCCACCTCTGACCATCCACGTGTGGATATGGCTTGGGAATTGCTGCCCGAGGGAGCCAAAGGCAGACCTGCCTACCCTCTGTCTAGCCCAAAGGGCCAGGCCTGGCCTGCAGCTGGCAGAGCCCCTGCATCCACTCTGGGGTTGGAGGGAGAGGCGGGCACAGCTGATTCTGAGGCAGGGCCCTTCCAGCCCTCCAAACCACCCCAGGCAGCCTGTGTGACCTCCACCCCAGCGGGCCTCCCCCTCCCCAAGCCCTTTGTAGTGGGAGGAAGGGCCTGTGACAGTCAGGACCAGGGGAGGAGTATGAACTTTGCAGTCAGGGGAGCCTAGCTAGGGTTCTGGCTCTGTGATCTCAGGCAAGTCACTTCATCTCTCTGAGCCTCAGTTTTCTCATCTGTAGAGTGGGAAGAACGAGTTTCCTGCCACAGAGAGGTGTTGGCAGGGCCGGTTTGGGGTCCTCCCACTGGCCTTCCCCTTCTGGTGGGACCAGCCTCTGCCTTCAGACTCCATCCTGGGGTCCCCCTCAGAACACCCCACCACCACTTTGTGGTGCATCTTAATAGCTCTGACCCCCGGCTTTGGTCACTGGCAAGCAGTGCCAAGGCCCCAGCCCCTCCATACCCCAGCCCCTGGCCCCGCTGCGGCCGCCCACAATGGGGGCTTCTAATAGCTCAAAGGGCTCATTCAGCCACCATGCAGCAGCTGGGGCAATTTGGAGAAGAAAATAAACATTTCCTTCCAGTGTTGGGATTGGCTGCTCGACAGCCAGCCAGCTCAAGTTTCCTGGGGCTACTGGGCTGGAGGGGTGGAGACCATTAGGAGCCTCAGGGGTGCTGAGGACAGACACTTCCCCCACCACCCTGGGCGGGGAGCAGGAGGAGACAGAGCCTGCAGCCCACATGAACTCCAAGGGCCACACACACCAGCCCAGGCCCACCTCACACAGCTCTGCGTTTCCCAGGCTGCAGCCCTGCCATCACATCCGGTGCCCTGTCTGCGTTTCCTTTGTTTTGAGCAGGGGTTCCTATCAGGTGGGCAGCACATACTTCCTGGGCTCAAAGCGGACATGTCAGCCTCATGCTCAACTATGCTTGGGGTGCCAGCAGTGCCAATAAGGCTTCTTCCCTGGATTTCCAAGATGAGGGTGGGGAGTCCGGCCCCTCTGATCCCCTAGGCTTCAACACGGCATTTACCAACCAAGGGACGAGACGAAGGGTGCCAGAGGTTCCAGAGGCCCCACTCACCTGACCCTTCCCCCTCAACTCTCCTCCCAGCCTTGAACCCAGGAGCGTCATTCCTTTCTATCCACAACCAGGACCAGAGTCTATGCTGAGGAAATACTCGCTGGCTGAGTCAGGAAGCCCCCAAAGCCCAGAGAAGTTACAGGTCCCACCTGAAGTCACACAGCACCTCGGGCAGATCTGGGGAAGCCAGTGGCCTGAGGGCACCAGCAGCTCCCTGTCCTCAGCCAAGCCACAGTCAGGGCAAACAGTGCACACCTGGAACCGGCCAGGGGTAGAGGCTGGTCTCCTGAATCCTGGTGGGAGGCACAGAGGGGTTGGGGCCAGACACACTTCCCCTCAGGTCCCCTGCTGGGGCCTCATCCATCTCCCACTGCTGCCCAGGTCACCCCCTTGGCCAGGGTACAAGGAAGGCCCAGGGCCAGCGGCTCAGCTTTGCAGGGCCAGTTCCCTTGGGCGTCCAGAGCAGGAGATGTCACAGCTGACACAGCAGCGCAGACCCTCACCAGGGCCCTACTCTGTTCCTAACCTAAGCACTTGATATGGATCCTACCTAATAATTTAATCTCTGGAAACTGTTACTGCTTCCATTTTTCATGTGGGACTACTGATGCACACAGATTAAGTGACTTGCCCAAGGACACAGCTAGTTAATGTCAGAACCAGGGTAAGTATCCAAGTGCAGAGACCACATAGTTAACCTCCATTCTGTGCTGCCTCACAGACGGGACAGCTACCTCTTAGCCACGTGTCAGGGCCCAGGACCTGGAACCCTAGGAGTTTATGCCAGGTCCAATGTGCTGTGTGACCCTTAGGCAAGTGTCTCACCTTCTCTGCACCTCAGTTTTCCTATCAAGGGGGTTAGACTCAATCCCTCAGCCCCTTTGAATACGAGGTTTTGAGGGTCTGTAACTACAGAAATAAGGGGCAGAGGCTGGGATGCCTTTGTTTTGGAGTCTAGTGAGGAGTCCACTCCCCGGGAAGCTGGGGCAGGGCTTGGACCAGACACTGGGTCTCTCCATGGCAAGGACAGAGTCTGGGTCAGTGAGCCCCTTTGGCTGCCAAGGCAGGTGACGGTGACATCTCACTGTTGGCCAGTGGTCAGCTTTAGCCTGCAGGGCAGCCCTGGGGACAGCAGTTTAGGGGGAGGCAGGAGGGTGGCGGGGATCAGAGTTGTGTGGACCCAACCCTCCCCAGCACAGGCATGGGCTTCTGTAAGCTAGCTGAGCCTTGCCTGGGCAGGAGGGGCACAGGTGTGCACACCCACCCCAGCAGAAAGCAAAAAGCAGAGGCCTTTTTGGGAGTTCCAGTCCTTTCTATGCAACATCAGGAAACTCTTTCTCTCCCTCCCTCAGTTTCCTTATCTGCAGAAGCAGGCTCCACTTCCCAATGTCACAAGGGCACTGGAAACTCTTTTTATACCCGCGGTCTTGCCAGCTCTTAACCATGAGGGAAGGAAGCAGAAGCTGCCTGGCTAGGCCTGCTAGGAGCCTGTACTGTCCCATCCTCAGCTGCCCACACTCCTGACAGCCCAGGTGGGGACCCACCTTCACCTCTTCAACAGGCCTGTGCACTGCTAGGCTGTGAAGAGGATCCCACCAGGAGAAAGAAAAGCCCTCGGCCTTTCTCCACCTGCGCAGGGAGGCCTCCATGGCCCCCTGTGGCCCAGCACCTGCTCCCACCTGCTTCTCAGGTGAGGCCATACTCAGAGTCAGGCAGGCTCCAGCCTCCAAGAGCCCAGGGCAGTGAGAGCAGAGCCAGGTGCAGAACCACAGAGCCTCCAGAGAGACCTGTGAACCAGAGGCTGTTCTTAAAGGAGGCCCATGGGGTGGTGCTGGGCTGTGACTGACCGTCCTCTTTGCTGTTTCCCAGGCACCTCGGACCTGAACCCTTTCTCTGACCCGCGCCAGTTCGACCGCTCCTTCCCAGCGCTGCCGGCCCTCACGGAGAGCCGCTTCCCTGACCCCAGGATGCATTACCCTGGGGCCATGTCAGCCGCCTTCCCCTACAGTGCCACGCCCTCGGGCACCGGCATCAGCAGCCTCAGCGTGGCAAGCATGCCAGCCACCAGCCGCTTCCACCACACCTACCTCCCGCCGCCCTACCCTGGGGCCCCGCAGAACCAGAGCGGGCCCTTCCAGGCCAACCCATCCCCCTACCACCTCTACTATGGTGCGTCCTCCGGCTCCTACCAGTTCTCCATGGTGGCCGGCAGCAGTGGTGGGGGTGACCGCTCACCCACCCGCATGCTGGCCTCCTGCACCAGTAGCGCCGCCTCAGTCGCCACAGGCAACCTCATGAACCCCAGCCTGGGTGGCCAGAGTGACAACGTGGAGGCTGATGGCAGCCACAGCAATTCGCCCACTGCCCTGAGCACACCGGGCCGCATGGACGAGGCTGTGTGGCGGCCCTACTGACCGCCCGGTCAAAGTGAACTGCGCTCGCCGGAGGCAGGGACTCCAGGGGCCTCTCCAGTGAGTGGCCAGCCCAGCTCGCAGGCTCAGGACAGGCATGGGACGTAGGCTCCAGGGCAGTTGCGGGCTCAGGGGCCACGGGTCCTGGGGCCCGGAGCTGGTGTGTGGCTCTGAGAGCAGCAGTCCAGTCGCATCTCTGTACAGAGGGGTAGGGACCTCCCCAAGGACACCACCCCCAGCCCAGATCCGAGTCACCTCATCCCACATTCATGTGGGAGAAGTCTCCTCCACCCGCCACCTACCCTGCAATGACCTGGCTGTCCCCAGCTGTGCCCAGCACTATCACAGGGCCCAGGTCTCCTGGGACAGAGCATCTCTGTTCTGGAGAGGTGGCATTTGCCCACACAGCTTGGCCTCTTATCCACAGAAAGAACTCCCCACCCCCCACCTCCTCAGAAGCTCTGTGTGGCCCCAGCCCTCCTCCACATTTACACAAACTGAACTGGAAGCCCCCCCGTACCCACCCTTCCCCTGGCCGAGGGGATTCCCTCACTGTATAGATGGGGAAGGAACCCATCCAGAGAACCTAATAAATCACTGGCAAGAATGGGATGAGGACCCCACCAAGCCAGTCCCCTCAGCTCTGCTTCCCCCAAATTCCTAACTACAAAGAAGCCCCTGTCCCCATCCTAGTATGTGTGGGTCCCAGGCCCCTGGGTAGATAGCCAATGGCAGCAGGTGCCCCAGACCAGGACAGGCACCTGCAGACGGGTCATCCGTGCACTTTAGCAGCCCAAGGCATTCAGCCTCTGTTCTCATGGTGTGGGCTGGGGTCCCCTTCCCCCTTGGCAGGTCTGTAAGTTGCTGGTTTTTGAAAGCACAGGGACCATATAGGTTCTAGTGGAAATCATTGCCGGGAGGGCCCTGGGGTCAGGTGTCAGCACCCCTGTCCCACCTAGGTCCAGCCAAGTGGTGCACATCCCCAGTCCCTGGCCTCGTGGGCAGGTCCGGCCCAGCCTCCCCACTTCTGACCCACAAGTCTCCATCTGTCGCCAGTCTATGCTCCAAAAGCAGTCCTGAACAAAAACCAGTTTTTAAAGCTGAGTTTAGAAAAAGAAGAAGCTCAAACATCTTCAAACACACAGTCTCTTACAGGTAAAGCCTCTGAGAGTGAATAATACTCTGCTCTCTTCTGAGAGTGTGGAATTAGGATCCCCGTACCTCAGCGGGTCACATTCCTTCAGCAGCATCTTACCAACGTCCACCAAAGGCTGACCCTGGCAGGGCCCAAGGGAGAGGCTGAATCTCGCTTCTGGGGCTTCTAGACGTTTGTCCAGGCAGATGTCTGGTGTTCTGGTGGAGGTGGGTGGGATGTGAGGGGCAGAGGGCAGTGGCTGCAGAGTGGCAGAACGGGGAGCCATGAGGGGCTCACCAGCCTCTGCTCGGCCCTCCTGTGCTCAGAGATGAAGTGTCGCCCCTTTGGTCTGCAGATGGCTAAGTGGGCCTTGCCCATGGGTTCCAGCTGTGTGGATTCTTGTGTATGAATTCTTTGGTTCTAGAAAGCTTACATGGAAAAGGCTAACAAAACTCTCCTAAGGGCTGGAGAGCATATGGTTTTTTGTCATTGTTTTCACCACATCCTCCATGGCTGTGGCAATCTCCCCTTCAAAATGCTCAGTGGTTGTGTTATGGTACCTGGCCTGCCATGCCACCTGCAACCTGTAACAGCCAGATAGGCGCACCGGATACATCCTCTGGCAGGTGAGGAGGTCTGTCTGGTGGTGGTACTCAAACTCGCCTGCTGCAGTTTCTCTTGTCCTCCCCTTGCTGGGAAAAGCAGTCTCCATCTCTTCAGAATCGCTGCTGGGAGTGTCCTGCTGACTCCTACACAGCGGGGCTCTCCACCCCTTCTCAGGAAGCAGCTACAAACGTCGCCCTCGCACCTTCTTCACTCCTGTTCTGTGGTTGTAGGCTGACCCCAGGCCTGTGTGGGAGGCACCCTTGGGTCCCCAGGGCCCAGCACTTTGTAGCCCCACCCCAGATTACTACCCCTTCCCGATACCCAAGTCCTGGTAGGGGCAGGGACAGGAAATAAATTGACCCCCCTGCCTGACCCCCTTAAAAACGTGATGGCAGCCGTGCCGAGTCTGTAAGACCCATAGTGGGTACGGACAGCCTGGGACGGTAGAAATGGGTCCTTATTTACAAGGCTGCTTTAAAGTTGTACCGGACAAACACTGATTTAGAAAGCACAAGAAAACTAAGGGGTTTTGATACCATATTATTGTCAGCCTGGTGGTGGTGGGTTCAGATCCTTTGTGACATATTGTCATGCTGAGGTGTTAATACCTGCTACACTCAATCTTCACAGAACCATCCCAGAGCTGGGAAGAGGGTGGGAGGGGTGGAAACTGCTTTGCACTATAATTTTGCTTGGTGTGTTTATTTTTAATGCACAACTTGCTTGTACAGTAAATTGTCTTCTGTACTATTTAACTGTAAGATGGAATTTTGACTGATTTGTTACAATAATATAACTCTTGAGATGTGTTGAAGGATCCCAATGCCAAACTTACAGGGCTGTGAGCATGGGGATGGGGTCGGGGCCTGGGAGGGGGTGGGGGCCTCTCTCTGTGGCCAAGGAGGAGGGGGGCAGGGCTTGGAGACGAGGAGATTAAACCCTCTGTTTGGAGGCGCTTGGTGCCTTGGCCTCCTGGCATCCAGCTCCACCAGCACCAGCCACAGAACCACCCTGGGCAAGTACAGCCGGCGAGGCCTCTTCCTGGTGTGGCTGAAACCCCAGAAGACCGTGAGATAGGTCAAGGGGCCACCCTCCCCCTCCACTTCTCGATCACAAGTGGCCCATGATTTTTCACAAGTAGGTGTGTCACAATCAGCTTGCTCCCCACGCTCAGAGTTGGGGAGGGGGCAGAGGCAGGTGGAGTATAAAGCAACCTTGGTGTGAGGGCCCTGGGGGACCCACGTTTGCTGGAACAGTGGCAAGTTAGCAGCAGAGCTGCAATGCAAGCAGCTGCGCCAGCTCCACCATTTTGCAGATGAGGTGACTAAGGTGCCAAGAGGGGGGTGTTGCTTGGCCACATATGTCCCAGAGTTGTCTGTGGCTGGTTGGGGGGGCTGTGGGTGTGATGGTGTGGGGACCTGGCATGCCAGTGCTCCCCCCATCCTGCTAGCAAGGAGACCTGGCCCGTCATGCCTTGCCAGCTGGAACTTGTGCAGTAGAATTTTCATAAAACAGGCCTTATTTTCAAGTGAAAATACTACAAAAGCTTTGCCCTCTTCGGTTGCATTGGTGTCTCTGAAACCTAGCACCCCACAGGAAGTTCCCATTTCCCCATCCTACACCTCTGTCCCGCAGCCCCCGAACTCAGGATCACCAGGTGGTCTTGAAGCAGGAGCCCAGCCACGGCTGCAGGATTTTTCTGTGGGTGTGTCTGAGCGCCAGAGTCTACAGGCCAACCCTCTGTTTCCATATATGTGTTTATCTGGGGTCACTGTATATGGAATGATGGAGATTGTGAGGATTCCGCATCTCAGGCCCCTCCTCACCAGCCGACCTTTGGTGCCACAGTTGATGGGAGAAGAGCTGTGGCTTCCAGAGCCTGACTCAAAGCTCCATCACCTTCACCCCATCAGGCGCAGACCAGCTCACCCAGCTTCCCAAGGGGAAAACAGGCCCAGAGAGATCCAGGCTTGCCTGAGGTCACGGTTTGAAGGTTCTGGGGGAAGCACTGCAGTAGCCACAGTGCCCCGCAGGTGGCAGCAGGTGGGCAGCCAGGGGACACATCCCTCCAGATGAAGGTGAGAAGGGGCTGCCAGAATTCAGGTCAGGTATTAGAAATAACTTCCTAACTTTGGGAAGTTCATACCTGGGAAATGTCTTGATGTGGAAGAAGGGTTTCCTCTCTTCTTTTAGCTATGTGCCTGTGGGAGGTCCCTGTCCCTTTCTGAGCCTTTCTATCCAGATAACACATGAGCACCTACTGTGTGCCAGGTGTGTAGTAGAATCACAGCTTCCATGATGCTTAAAGGTCCTGCTTTAGGACAGGGGTTTACTCGGCTTGGAGGAAAGGTTGATGTTCCTAGTCCAGCATCTCCAGCCACGTGGAGCTCTGGCCCAGGCACCCCACCCCCCAACCTTCCCAAACCACCAGCAGGAGCTTAGGACAACAAGCAACTGGTCCACGGTGATGAACCCCTTTTATTCCAGAGCCTGGGGTCCTGCGATTCCACTTGACAGGCTCTAGGAGTCACTCTGATGGGAGGGGTCTGCAGTTTCACCAGCCCCACCCCCAGCCCCATGGCCTGGGGCTGGCCTGGTGATAAGCGGAGAGAGGCTGCACTGGCCCTCAGGCTCCCAGAGGTGGGCTCCTGCCCACTGGGCCGTCCTGGGCCCTCCTGAGGGGTGAAGAGGCCCCACCCTGGCACACCCACCTCAGGGAGCAGCCCTGGGACGGCTGAGCTTCTGTGCACGGGGATGGCTTTGCTTTTATTCTGAGAAATGACTGCTCTGGCAGGGTTTTACCCGAGAGTGACGTGTGCCCAAAGGGGAAACTGTGAGGGTCTGAGCAGAACCCGGTGCAGAGCCAGCACTGGTGCTATGAGGCCGGGCGGGGCGGGCGTAGACTTCTGCCTCTTCCCCCCTGCCCCAGACTGCACCCCATAAACACAGCCACGCAGGCTACCCCTCCATGGCCCTGGGGCAGCTCCCAAGCGCACCGGACACCCCACTTGGCCACATGAGCAGGGAATGCCCCTCAGTGGGTCAGTTCATTTTGGGGTCATAAATGAAATGAGCTGTCAAACAGATGGGTGGGGGGAGCCAAAAAGAAAGAACGAACTGTTCCTTGTGGAAACCCAGAGCGCCCCCCACTGCTCCCCAGGAGGACTGGGGGCTTGGCAGGGAGGGGCCTCACCCCCGACGTCCACATCCGCACCTGTGTGGCCCAGCGGCTGGAGGGGCCAGGGAGCGGATTCCAGCCTTCCTATTTTTAGTTCTGTAGCTGAACGCACACTGTTTTATGTATTTATATCCGCCCGCAGAGAGAGCCCAGCCGAAGCCTGTCCTGGAGGGCACCCACCGGCAAAGCGGGTGGAGCAGCCCAGGGGCCAGCTTTCCGGCGCCACCTTTCCTTCGTGCCCTCGCAGACTGCTGGAAATGGCTGTGGCCTCGGTGGCCCTGCTGGGTGGCCGCTGTTCACCCTAGCCCCCTCTGCTCTTTGGATCTGCTGTCTGCCGAGCCTTGGCAGAGGTCATCTACCTGTTCACCAAACAGACCCAAGCCCATCCTCACCCCCAGGTGCCAGAGCAAGAAGAAAAGGCAAATGAGTCACAGGCATGGGAGCGCACAGGGCAAACAAGAGAACAGGTGTGCCAACACGGGATACATGGTGTGGGTGAGGCAAGATGGAAAGAGGAGCAGAAATTCACCAGACGGAGAGGTGGCAGGAGGCCCTTCCAGGCAGAGGGAACCGCATGCGTAAAGGCTGGAGGACAGGAGTGTAGCCAAGCTGGAGAGGACAGTGGGGAAGGTGAGTAATTGCAGTGGGAGAGGAGGCATAAGGCCCAGGTCATGGGGACTGAAGGCCAAGCGGAGGGGCTTGTATCTGGTCCTGCAGGTACCGGGCAGCCAAGCCGAGCCATGGCAGTGCACTCAGGTGGATGTGCATTGGAGTGTGTGGTGGTGTGGAGCTTGGACTGCATGGGGGTGCAAGGACCTTCACAGGCTACTTCAGTAGTCCAGGCAAAGGATGAAGTCTGTGCAAGATGGTGGGAGGAAGAGCTAAGTGATCCTAAGACATCTTTAGCCCTGACGTTACAGGAGGACCCCGTGCCCCAACCCTCTGGTTTCAAAGTGTCTCTCAGTTTCTCAGGGCTTATGGCATTTGATGGAGCCACTGGAGGTCTTAATAATAGTTTTTGTTATTGCCAACTGTGCAAAAACAATGGCCCTGCTCTCCCCCTGGCCCTGCACCCCACAAGATCTTAGTAGAGCCTTAGGTTCTGCTACAGGACCCCCTGATCACACCCAAGGCCACATGCAGTTTCTCAGACTAAAGCATCCAGACACCCACTCACTCCATAACCTGAAGACATAACTTGTAAGACCCTGAATCTGAGGTTCCCAATGTATTACATTTTATGTATTAACATTTTTAAAATTGCATTCAATAGTACATAGTTATAGGGAAAAAAGTAGATAATACAGATTACCTCCCCCCACAAAAAAGCACAAAAGAATTATCCATAATCCCAGCCTTCCAAAGATAACCATTGTTAATATTTTCAGGGTTTTTCCCCCATCCAGATCTTTATTTTCTATAAATATATAAATGCTTTTCTAGGATCACACATTTTTCTAGCCAGGTATGCATTGTACATACAGTATATCAATTAATACAATGAAAAAGTAGAAATAAACATGATCTAGAATGAAATCACTGGAAGGATGGGGTTATTGCTGTTTTCTATTCTCTTCTCTGTATTTTTGGCATCTTCCAACTTTTCTAAAATGAGACCATCTGTTAGGAGTAGAGTAAATTAATTTCTAGACTTTGATAAGTATCCAGGCAGAGGAATTCAAGACCATGCTTGGACTAACTCAGTTGACTTTAGCTGAGGCATCATTTCTTCCAGGTAGCCTTCCCTGATAGCCTCATACTAGATTTGATGCCTTCTCTGTGCATTTATCTCTGAGATAATAAAAGTGACAACAGCACTACTTCATGCCAGGCGCTATTATAAATGTTGTGCCATTATATTGTGCCATTTTAAACTCAGCCCATTGAGGTATATACTATCATTTCCCCATTTTACAGAGGAGAAAACTGAGAAACAAGGACAGAATTCCCTCCCAATCCTAAGAGCAGAACGATACCTGAAAAGGTTGAACTTAAGTTTCCAATTAGGTAAAGGTATTAGAGGATCAAAGTAAGAATTCAGTTGACTTTAGGGAAAAGGTGATATTTCTTACACACCTGAGTTTGTGCCCCATGACCCATACTTGCCCTAAAGGTGGATCATCAGAGGGAAAAAGAAAAGAAGAAATGAGAAAATGTCTTTTTGTAAAAAACAGAAGCAGAAGAGATGCAAATTAGGGCCCTTTCTCTGTGTTTGAGAGTGATGTGTATGCCTTTCTGATTTGTGATTCTCAGATTTCATGAAGCATGATATCAAAAGATAGAAATCACTGCCTCTGTACCTTTTGATGACCCCCATTCCATCCTTTCCCACTCAAGGGGACACCCTGGGAATGAGTCCTCATTATGGTGGGGCTCTCTCACCCTGGATACGCACCCAATGGAATTATCTGCCAGGGTGCCGGCCTTTCTCTGCCTCAGACAAGTCAATTTCTTTTTCCATGAAAACAACTCAGTCCTAAATCACTGACACCTGAAATTACAAAAATACGAGGCCCATATTATCATAAAACTATTTTAACACACTGGGGCCCTCTTGGTGGCAGGAGGGGTGGCCAAGAGCTCCATGGCAGCTCCTCCCAGTTGCAGCCCCTGGAAATGCTCAGAGGGACAAGAAATTT